AGTCTATAAGAGCTTATGTGGCTTGGAAAAGTGATAGTGATTTATCAAGTAATAAAAGCTCAAGTGATAATATAGTAGAGACAAATGTGTGTCTCTCGGCCCATCAACGTCATGAGAATAAAAAGAATGTAAGTCGTTCCAAATCTGAACATGTTGACAAGTTTTATTATTCCTAGTTACAATTAGCTTTTGAAAATCTACATAGAGAAGCAATAGATGATTTTAAAAAATTAGCTTCACACAAAAAGATATTCTCAAAATTGGAAGCTAAAGCTTTAGAAACCAAAAATAAAATGGAAGCCCTAAAGAAATATGTGGTTGATAGTCTAAAAGTTAAGAAGGAGGATGAATAACCTTCAAGGTTTGGTTGTGAAACTTGTCACACTTGGCAAATAGAGTCTAAAACTCTTAAAGTTAAATTGGACAGGGAATTACAACCAAAGGCTACATTTTCTATTGATCCCTCAAAGCTTAAAAAGTCTTTGAATAAATATTATAAAAAGTATAGCTTTTCTAAAAAGGATCCAAATAGCAAATGTAAAAATCTTCATAATTTGTCTTGTCTCTATTGTTGCAAGAAAGGTGAAACTATTGAAAAATGTAAATTTATGAGTTTTTTTGGGTTCCTAAAGGTGTTTTTCAATGGTTGCCCGAATACAACCATGATTTCACTCACTCTTAAGGATCCAATAAAAATTGGTTATCTATCACCTTTGTTTGATCTTGTAGGTTAAATTTCTTGGATCTATGGAGGGAAGATGGATTCTCGATAGTGGATGCTCAAGGCATATGACGGGAGACATTTCCTTATTCTCTGACTTTGTGGCCAAGAAGAAAGGTTGTGTCCTATGGAGACAATAACAAAGGTGCAATACTTGGAAAAGATATATAAGTAATCCCTCATCTACTACTATCTCCAATATTATGCTAGTTAAAGGCCTTAGACATTGTCTTCTTAGCAATAGTCGATTGTGCGACAATGGGTATAAAGTTTCATTTATAAAAACTCATTGCATGATTGTACGTAATGAAAAGAAAGATTGTATGTTTAATAGTGTGAGGGTAAAAAATATCTATATGCTTGACTTGAATGATGTATCTTTTACCAATGCTAAGTGTCTTGTTACCGTGAGTGAAGACTCATGGCTATGGCATAGACGCCTAGCTCATGTCAACTTTGATTTACTAAACAAAGTGGCTTCAAAAGATTTAGTGATCGATCTACCTAAAATAAAATTTTCAAAAGACCACCTATGTGATGCATGTCAAAAGGGGAAGTAAACAAGAGTCTCATTTGAGTCCAAAAACATTGTTTCAACTTCGAGACCTCTTGAGCTTCTCCACATGGATCTATTTGGTCACTCACGGGCTAAAATCCTAGGTGAAAATTATTGTGGTTTTGTTATTATAGACGATTACTCTAGATTTTTTTGGACCATCTTTATGCATAGTAAAGATGAGACATTTTTGGCTTTCACACGTTTTGCAATGTTATCCCAAAACAAATTAAATTAAAAAATTATTGCTATCTGAAGCAATCATAGAGGTGAATTTGAAAACCATCTCTTTGAGGAATATTGTGATAAATATGGAATTGAACATAACTTTTCAACTCCTAAAACTCCTCAACAAAATGGTGTTGTGGAGCACAGAAATTATGTTTTAGAGGAGTTGCAAAAACAATGCTCAATGATAGTTGTCTACCTAAATACTTTTGGGGCTATTGGCACAATGTGTTATGTCTTAAATAGGATACTTATACGTCCTATACTAGAAAAAACACCATATAAACTTTTAAAAGGTAGAAAGCCAAATTTATCACATCTTCATGTATTCCGATGCAAATGTTTTATGTTAAATAATGGTAAGGATAACCTTGGAAAATTTGGCGCGAAAGCCAATGAAGGTTATAGAATATATAATAAGAGATTACTTATTGTTGAAGTATCAGTTCATGTTACTTTTGATGAGTCTTTCTCGAAGAATATTGGGAAAGGTATTTATTTTCATGGTACAAGTGCATCTACAGAAGACATAATCAAGGACATAGAAGAAGGAAGATCAACCTGAATTAGTGAAATCTGAGGAGGAGGAAGATCTAGATCCTGAAAAGAATAAATATGAAAGTAAAAATTAAGACTATGATCTCCCCTTGGTGTGGAGAACTTCCAAGGATCATCCCATCGACAATATTCTTGGGGACATCACCAAAGGAGTAACTACTTGCTTTAAGATAAGTAATTTATGTTATCACTTTGGATTTGTGTCTGAAGGTTAACCTAAAACTGAAAAAGATGCCTTATGTGATGAGCATTGGCTAATGGCCATGCAAGGTGAGTTAAATCAATTAGAAAGAAACAATGTTTGGGACCTTATCCCTCATCCGTGAGATCAAGTCATAGGCACTCGATGGGTTTTTAGAAATAAACTAGACGAACAAAGAGTGATAACTAGAAACAAGGCCCGACTAGTGGCTCAAGGATATAACCAAGAGGAGGTCATTTATTATGAGGAAACTTAAGCTCTGATTACCCGACTCGAAGCTATACACCTTTTACTAGCTTTTGCATGCTCTAAGAATTTCAAATTATTTTAAATGGATGTGAAGAGTGATTTCCTTAACAGACACATTATTGAGGAAGTGTATGTTGCTCAAACTTTTGGTTTTAAAAATCATGAGTATTCTAATCATGTTTATAAGTTAAAACGTGATTTGTGTGGTCTCAAACAAGTTCCTAGGGCTTTCTATGAGCGGCTTAGCAAGTTCTTACTTTACAAAGGATACTCTAGAGGGGAGGTAGATACAACACTATTCATTAAATATCAAGGAAAACACATACATCTTGTTCAAATTTATGTTAACAATATCATATTTGGTTATACTAACATGCATTCGGTCGAGTTTTCTAAGCTTATGTAGGGGGAATATAAAATGAGTCTAATAGACAGTTGAATTAGTTTCTCAGCCTCCAAATCAAACAACTCAATAAAGGAACATTCGTGTGTCAAATGAATTATTATCACGAATTGCTAAAATGATTCGGTATGGATGAGGCTAAATCAATTAACGCTCCAATTCTAAGAAACGATAACTTGGATAAAGATATAAATGGTAAGGATGTGGATGTGAAGAAATATAGAGGTATAATTAGATCTCTTCTATATCTTAATTCATCTAGACTCGACATCATGTTTACCATTTGTAAGTGCACGCGATATCAATCGACTCATAAGGAATCCCATTTAAAAGCGATTAAGTGCATCCTTAGTTACCTTCAAGGTACATCTAAGTATGGGATTTGGTATTCCAAAGGAAGCGATTATAGTTAGTTGCTTATTCTGATTCCGACTTTGCTGGTTACAAGTCAGATAGGAAAAGTTCTAGTGGAACTTGTAACATGTCTTCAAAATTAAATAGTTAGTTGGCATAGAAAGAAACAAGTTTAAGTTGCTTTATCAATGACTGAGGTAGAATACATCACAACCGATAGTTGTTGTGCTCAAATTTTATGGCCCAAACAACAATTACTTGACTTCAGAATTAAACTTTCATGTATTCCTATCATGTACAACACCACTAGTGCGATTAAGCTAACCAAAAATATGGTGTTACATTCTTGCACTAAGCATATTGATATTTGTCACCACTTCCTACGTGACCATGTTGAAAAAAGGGATGTTATAATTGAGCATGTTGATAGTAAAAATCAACTTGCGGATATCTTTACAAAACCTCTTGCAACTGAACCATTTTTCATCATTCGAAGGGAATTGGAGATTCTTGATATCTTAAATATTGCCTAAATACATTTGTTACATGCACTCTATATACATTACTCTAACTTTTATTTGAGAGTTTCATACTATGCGATTGCATCTTCCGTTCCATTCATCTATGAAGTAATTTCGTTATTTTTTCTCCTTGAAAATAAACCATTTTCAATGCAATGTTGTTTATGTTCTAAATGCTTAATATATGATATACTTCATGAATGTTCACTTTCAAAAATTTCAATTGATAACTGTAATATAGGTTAATTTATATGCTTATAGTGACTTCATGCTATTAATTCTTTCTCATTTGAAGTATATGTTCTTGGTGTGAAAGCATGTTTTCTATTATTATTTCTTGCAAATTCTTATAATTTAAGCATGTTTACTACAAATTAAATTCTTGATCAACTCATGTCTTATTTTATGATAGCATCTTTGGTTTTGGTTTTAGTGGCGGTGTATTTTCGTTCTTTTTGTTCAATCATTCTATTTCTGCAAAGTCTCTCCTCCTTTCCCCTCCAAACTCTCAAATAAAAGTAAATTTCTCAAAACCCTTCCATTTTGGTTACTAGGTTCACTTGTTAGTAACCTGCATGGTCGAAATTCTCGTACATGTTTGCTTCTTTGCCTTTAGTTTTGTCTTGTTCATGCAAACACCAAAATTCTTACTATGTTTTGAACTCCTCCTTTTAAAAAAATTTAATTTATACTACTATTTAATACTTTTTATGTTAGAAGGAAAAGAAGTGTTTTTTATATATCTACCATATAAGAAAAGTTTAGGTCGTGGAAAAACCTTTTCTAACACTTACCTTACCCTTGCCACATGTTCAAATGGTACATTTTGTGTCTTTTTCTACCCCTGTGGTTAAAACTCAACTGCCCTTTACATGGCCAACTAACCTACTTATGCAAAATACATGTTGCTTGAGTTGAATATGAAGAACTTAGCTAGATTGTTGTAACGCTTGAACCGAACATAACTGAGAAAAGTAATGAATATGAAGTTAAAGCTATCTCTGCTAAGACATTAGGAACGTCTCCCGAAGGGTCACTTCCACCTGCCTCTATTCCTTTCTCTTCGACCACAACCCTTCTCATATATCTTTCTTTCCTCTTTTCACTTTTGTCCTTTCACATAAAATTTTCATCTCTACCTAATACATCTTCATCTCCTAACTCACTGTTTTTGTAACCCACCATTTCCTTCAGCTCCCAATCCTTACATGGCGCGACCATTTGAGATGATAAGCGACATTAACGACCACATGGAGTTGTGGAAGATTTCCGTCAAAATTCATCACAAATGGAAGGTAACGACTGCATCGAAGGAGCATTTCGAGATGGTGGTCTTCGACAAACATGTGAGTTAGAAATATTCGGACGCCGCCTTTGAAAATATTGTTGTTCATGTATATATTTCCACTGACGTACCTATTTTCATATATTTTCGCTGGTTTACATCTCATCGTATCATTGTTGTTTAAGGTTTGATTTCCAGTGATCTACTTTTGTAGAAAATGTATATTGAGTTTGTCTGTCGAATACAAAATAAACAAAGGTCTCAATAGTTTTAACGTTGTATTCTGATATGTTTTTTTGTTATGTTATAATGGTTATTTTATGATTTTAAATCTTCAGGGCCATGACATAGATGTAGTTGCTCTAACTATCTTCAGCACAATGATTTGATGTTCAAACCAATAAATCACAAGTTTATCCTGAAATTCACGGGTGGTACAACTGTAGGAGATACTGGCAAGCATGATATCGACAATAAGCCTAGAAACTTAACCCCTTTTGTTGATGTAATATCTGAGAAATGGCAAAGGATTGTTCTTTGTGGTATTGTTGTTAATCCCTTATCAACCTATTTTTGGTTTCTGTTATGAATGTTTATGTATATTCCCCTAATTTTATTATTTTCTATAGATGTTATTGGTGTCTTTGACGAAGTAAGCTACACACAGTCTCATACGAGAGGGAAAAACCTCAGGTTAACTTGGTGTTGCGCGATTTACGGTATGTCTTATACCAACCTGATTTTATATCTCTATATTCCCCGAGTAATTTTTTTTAGAATCCTTTTGTTACAATCACTAATTACCAACTTTGACTGGTTAGCAACAACACATGTTATAGGAAGCCTATTCCATGAAGTTCTTAGAGTACCAACAAAAACAGGTTGATACCACCAAACCAACAATTATGATCCTCAGATATGCTAAAGTTAAGGAACATGGTTCTCTAAAACCTACACTTTTTAATTTTATCCTTCTATTAACTCAACTTATTCCCTTGCGTTTGTATGCATCTTTGAATTTATATATGCATATTGTAGGAAAATTTCCAGTTGTGGTGAAAAACACCTACAACGTCACAAAACTACAAATCAACAAAGACATAACCGACATCAATGAATTTGTAAAAAGGTAAACACCCAACTGTATGAAATATATTATTTTATATTGTCATAATTATTTGGTCAATTATGTTGCATTATACATGTTCTAAAACTGTACATGTACAAGTTTCCAAAGGATTCTAGCATTGGGAAGTCATTGACCACCACAAGCTGCAACAACCGAGGGTGGTCACAAAAATCTTCCAGCTCTCATATGTCTATCAGGGAAAAGTTTTTAGATAAATATATTCAGATTAAACTTAATGAGATAAGCCAATTGGCCGAGGTAGTTTACATTCCTTGTAATTTTTTTCAATTCCTTTCTTTTAACCGTTAACTGCATAGCATGACCGCTTTTGTCATTTACGTGCAGGCTACATTTTGTGTAATTGTTGCTACAACAGACAAGCTTTTAGCATCAGAACATGGTTGGTGCTACACTACATGCCATTAATGTCCTCAGGTTGCTAAAGGCGAGAAACCTCCATTTTTCTGTCGGGATGGACACCGTATAGAAGCAAAAATTTAGAGGTGGGGCGTTACCTATATTTGTTGTTTAATATCTTTATTCTGAACCGTTTTATTGGTGACCTTTAGTTTTGTGGTTGCGTTGCAGGTTTAAGATTTTTGTTGAAGTAGTTCATGAAGGGAAACTGCAAAATTTGTTTTCTGGGATCGGGAGGCGGCCGAGCTGTTGGATACTACTGCCACACAAATGCGAGCAACCATGATACAAGTTTGTGAAAACTGCTTGATCAGTTTTTATTGATTTTTTATTTACCTTATTGTTGTGCTAACTGCAACTTATTACCACCTTCATTACTAATTGAAATTCAGGCTGGAGTAACATATCCACTTGAGTTTCCACTTGCCCTTGATGTAATGTTGGGCAAAAAGTTTTCGTTTAAGGTAAAGTGAGACCTGAAATGGAAAAGCTCCTCCGTCGTATAGTTTATTAAGAATAATCAGCTCATCATTAAGCTTGAAGGACCTTCAGAAACAAATCAGGTTACCATAGTCTTCTTCATTTATTACAACAAAATGTAATGTTCAACATTGTCTATAAGGAACTAATGTTGTAATCTCCTGCCAAAAATCCCCGGTCATTCTAGACAACTCAGTTACAGCACAGATTCGTTTATATCAATCAAGTTCCTTGTGTTTTTCTCTATGATTCCCATCAATTTCTTTATTACTAATGTTGGTATGGAATGACATCAAATCCCCCCCAAGCTAGATACCTCTACTTCCATGCAGGTTCTTTCGATTTATTTGAGTTCCTCGTATTATGCTTTTTATCCATTCTGCATCTTAATTGTTTCTTAAGACACCTTACTCATTCATCATAAACTTTGAATTTAAATAACCCCTTTGTAACAGATCTTGGAGAATGTTGGAGAGGACATTAAATGTGAACAACTCAATTTCGTTGCGGTACTTCTTTATCCCATCTATTATATTTTCAATTCTATGCAATTTTTCCAACCTTGGACACCATCTAATTTCCAAAAATTTGCAGGAAGGTGAAATTACATCTCCCCACGTTCCTGATCCTGCTACCCCTAAAGCTAATGTGATGAGGATGTCTACAGACCGTCCTATCGATTATTTTGTTCACCATATTATCGAAGGGGATCTATCTTCAACTAAAGTGAAGAAAATTACCAAACGGGGAAAGAAATCCACCGTATGATTTAGTTATGCCGCGACTTTGTACTATCTTTTTGGGTCCTTGATTTTATACAACCCACTATCAAATACGGTTTAAAATTTAATGTATCTGCTTGACCACTATTAATCCCTTAGACACCATTGTGAACTGGATTTAACATAACAAGAACATGTTGGCCTTTCTTTTGGATGCTTCATGCTATAATTTAGTTATCGTTAACGTGTGTTATGTATCAATCTAATGTAACTTGTCTAACATTTTCTGCAATATACTTTTGGAATCCATGTTATATATTATTGCCCAATTTTCTCAAATTGTAAATATCGTGTGCAGTCCATAACAGATATGTCTTTTCATTTTTCCTGTTTTTTAATGGTTAACACTCACCTATCACTATCCTAATCAACGATGGATGGACCTGCTATGATTATTTAATCCCTCTAAATATCATGCAGTTTACCAAACTATTTATGTGCTAAAAAAATTCAATTCAGATTACATATTCTACTTTTCTTCAAACTAGTTTTTAACAAAACTGCCTTTGCGTTAAACATAAAACTAATACTCTTAAGTGCTATAAAAGGAGATTCATATACAAAATACCATCAAATAAGGATCTTAAATAATATAAGTTAAAAAACATACTTACAAACCACTAAAAAATTAACATATGCATAAGTACTTTGAATATTGTGCCGGTAGAAACATGTCGCTTCATGCCAGTCCACTTGACATCTCCTTATGCTTCCTGCTATAAGAGCATGATTATCGGTATTTTTACTAAGTTCCTACATATTTTTCAATGTTGTTGAGTCAGAGGTATTTGGACGTTTGAGTTTTTCCAACGTTCTCTAATTTGCAACATCCACAAAGAAACACACGCTTCTACAATTAAAGTGGGTCATATTTATTATTAAAAAATTCAATTTGAAATAAAATATTTGCAACGGAAATAAAAGATTTCAAGTGTTTATTTCATTTTGGAATAAGAGTTGCAACAGTGATATTTGTATCATGTATTTTTTTAATGTAATTTTGATGAATTATTTGTATCATGTATTTTTTTATTTAATATATATTTATTTTAACCTTATTTTGAAGGTATGCCTTTTTAATGTATTTTGATATATTTGAATTAATTTTTTAATTATATTTTATATAATATATTGTGGAGTGTAGTGGGACCAATTTTAGATTTTTTGATGAGTTAGATGGATATTTGAGAATTGTAGATGAGTTGTTTAAAAAATTGAGAAGTGTGAAATAATATAAAAAATTATGTGGGTCCCATTTAAAGAACCTAAATGGGTATGATGGATGTGGATGCTCTAATTTTTTCCATTTAATGTTATTGTTTCATCATTGTACTTGGTTGCAAGTTGCAATATATGCCTATCATTCATTATTTTATTATTTTTAAATAAGTATCATAGCTGTATAAATTATTCAAGTTATCTGAATTACCAATTTTGGCCACAAAGTTGCCCGCCATACTTTTCAAACTATTTTTCATTTTATTTCAAACAAGGATACAAAATTTTTAGTTTACCAGGTAACAATTTCTGCTCTCCTCCTTATCCCAATCATAGTGTATGATACTGTCCTATTTACTCAAGATTTGATTCACTTCAAACATGGATGATCCAATTAATTATACCATAGTTTCTATCCATGTACAACTATTAGATTCTATACCATAGTTCATATACCATAGTGTATGAAACAACTATTAGTAAATGTTTACATTCAGAGCTTATATATCCTTAACTATGTTGACTAATGATTTTACTTTGTAAATTCAGGATGTATAAAACTGTGTCTACTACAAATGGATGATAACAACAACACCCATGCTTCGATTGCAAGAAAGAGGGGAAGGTTGATGTTGGTAGATAAGAGACATCTCGGTTCGAGTTCAAACAAGGAGAATGGGATTGCTGCACCATCCACACCTATTATTCCTGCGACGACATTCTCCCACTTACATGATACAACACCCTTGACAGTTTTGAATTACACTACTCCTACCGGTGCGAGTAAGAGTTTATCACATGGTGCTTCTCCTAACAATAAGAGACAAATTAATATGATTTATGGGATAGATTCCTTATCCACCTTCAATTCCCGTGAAATTTTGGCATCAGTAGACCTTAACGCCTCTAATTCGACTATTAAACTACATGTTATATCTACTACAATTCCTCCACACTCAACGACACTTTCACAAAACGATCATCGAGTCATGCAAAATACCTTTAATGTAGTCAACCAAACTATCCACTTACGTGTGAGAAGTTATAGCATTGGAATCTTTTGCTTACTTTAACAACCAACATACAATTTTATAAAGGACAAAAACATGTGGGACAATCCTGCTGCACTTGTTCTTATTTAACTATAACCTGACTTCACTAACAGTACAAACTTTAAGGCTTCTTCCTTTCTACCTGTTAACATTTACAATTGAAGTGGGTTTTCTACCAACTTTTTATTTTGTTCTTTCACTTACTGTAGTGGTAGAAATGTTGAGACTAAGCCATTGGATTAAATTGACTCGCATATATCAAAACAAAAATTGTCACTGTGCTTTATTGTTTCCAAAGGAATGAGAAAAGAGAGAATAACCCAAAAGAGGGGGAGAGAATCTAAGTTCGGGGTTGGTTATGCAAAGGGAAGGTATTATCACCCTAAACATCCACGGTACTCCATAGGAACCTCTTTGAAAATCTATGTATTTTCGGCTATAAGTGTTGTATATAAAAAAAAATTGTGGGGATGAGAAAAGAAGTATTTTTTTATAATTTTTGCACCCGCCGCGATTGCGAACCTTTAGTGCCTATGTACCACCTTCTATTCAATAGGGGATCAGGGTACTCCTAGTTCACCTTTAAAAAAAATTAAAACACAAGTGTGTTGGTTAATTTTAAGAGACGACACATCATCGTCGTATCTGAGTGGAAGAACACACTTACTATCCATAATTATGAGAAAGGAGAATTTGCGTCATCTCAAAGTGGAGGATATGGCTTGGATTTTAAAATCAACAAAGCCTCGCTCAACACCAAAGTGGAAAATATCCCACTTCACTACATATCATGGAAGTATAGTAGCTCGCATCACTACAAAGATTGACAAGAGTCTAATCTTTTGAGAAAAGTTTTAAAATAAAAGAGTAAAAGTGGAAAAATGGTTTGAATAAGATTGATTGACTTTTAGTCTTCTCACAAAAATGTCAAAGTATTGTTAAAATACTCAGAGTTTGATTAAGAAAATGTTTTTGAAAATGCATGGACCTAAGTCCAAGTTTATTATGAAAGCGGTTCAAGTTCAAAACAAGAAGAGTTTTCAAAAGGAGGGAGAAGATTTTTGAAATTAAAGAAGGTGGGAGAAGTTGAAGAGGCTATCCTAAAGCATAATGTAAAATCTAGGGAAAAGAATCGTCTAACCAACAAGAAGCCAACACTTGACACAATGAGTCACTCTAGAATTCTCATCCTTTGGACTTGAAACCAAATAAGCAAAGATAATAAATCTCTTAAGAAAACCAAGCTTCAATTGTATTAAGTCTTCACAAAAATTGGACAGAGTAACTGTTGTATACAGATGAACTCCCGATCACAGACAAAGCATGTAATCACAATAACCTGCACACAAAACAAACAAATAACTCAATGTCTTGGGGTAAACCCCAAGAACTCTAGACAAAATAACAGTTGGAGTTACAAGGTCTCAAGGTAGGTTAAGGCTTCTAATCCTAAGTCAAAGAAGTCCACAATCTCCATAATGCCAAGGATAGTAACCATGTAGTCTGAGTAACATTAAAGCTTTTATTGTTCAAGTTGACTATTAGGTATCTTCAAAAAGAAAATGAAAAGCTTAAATGAGCAAATATGAAAATAGCATGAAATGTAAATGCTAATATAAGTGGTGCTTAAAGTAAAAATCATAAAGTAAAGGCACAAAATAAAGTCAATTGTTAGAATTTTGAGGTTAGTTGAATGACCATCTTGAAACTTGCATTTGGAACTCATTAGAGGATTGATAAAACCAAATCCTCTCAACAATAAGTTTCATTTGCTTTTTTTTCAAGTATATCATTCATTAAAAATTCTCAAGGCAATAATAAAGGATCAACGATGTTTAAGTGATTCACTTTGACCAAAGCTTATGAAGATTCATTAGAGGATTGATAAGACCAAAGCCTCCTAACAATGAATTTCAAGGTTATTGGATCAAAGGATTCAAATTAACATACTTGGGCTTACCAACAAGGATTTGGGCCACAAATGATCATTACTCGAATTAGGATAAAATTTAGCGCTATGTTAAGCAAACGTAAGTGGACTTATATAGAAGTCGCACCTATTTTGAGGCCGGTTAATAGCAATCTATGTACCACATGTTTAGAGAAATGATATATAAATCATTCTCCGTCAACATATAGTATAAGTGAGAATGGGATAAGATGAAGAGGAGGGGATGTATTAGATGAAATTTAGTTTCAAATATCATCAACATCATTCATCCATCTTGATGGATTTGGTTTTTCAACCTATCAACACCCAAGATCCAATGATGTTGAAGAATTTTTCCTAAAATAAGCCTCAAGTCAGTATCACATGCCAAAGCAAAAAATTAAACAAGAATTATGTACAAAAGTTCTCAATTACAAGCCTTAATCAAAAGTAAAACCCTAAATACAAACCTAAGTCAAAAATTAAGTTTAAAATAGGAAAATAACTCGTAAAATTATAAAATTAAAACCATAACTTCCTAAAGTTATATAAAAGTCAGAAATAGAATTTAGATTTCTTGGATTGAGGTGGAAATTTGATTTAGAAATACCAACTTTGAAACTAGCTAGAAAAATGCTTAAACTAGAGATGTTTTGAAAAACAATTTGTGAAAAACATGTAATCACATTTTAAAATTCAAGAAAAATGATCTTTATGACCTCAACTTGTTCAAGCACTCTAAACAACTTCATCTCTGATTTTATAGGCATGGTGTTTCCAGTGATT